CTCAACTACTTTTTTTTGTTTGTTTTATGAAATTAAATTCTGTATTGAATTACGCCTCATACGATAAAAGATGTAAAGTTAAATTATACTAGAGGATTTTATATTTTATGAAAATTTAAAATTTAATTTTTATATTGTAATTTATATAGTTTTAGTTTTTATATTATTTTAATTTAATAATTTTAGTTTATTCATTAATTTTGTTAAAATTTTTTATTAAAAATTGTTGACGTAGGTGTTAGCTTAACGATGTAAACGTTAATTTTGATTATGTAATATTGATTTGCTGACATAATAATTGAGATAGATAAAATTAATTATTAAATTATACAAATAATTTTTATATTAAAATAAAATTTAAAATTTAATTTTTGTATTAGCATGAAATTTGAAATTTAATTCATATACTCTAATAAAATTTGAAATTTAATTTCTCTAAGATAAAAATATTTTGAATTTTTTTGTAATTTTGTAATTTTTTAAAATATTAAATTCAAAATAAATGCCACAATATTATGTTACAATATTCTATCACAATATTGAAAAATCTATTATAATATTCTATCATAATTTTCATATATTATCAATAAATTTTATCACAATTTTTGTCACACCATGCGAAATACTATTACTAATTTCGTTATTATTTCTTATTATATTTTATCATCAAATATAAAATCTGTTATTAATATTGTCACAATTTTCTATCATAATGATAGTTTAGTGTGTGTGGTCATATGAAGAAAAAAAAAATTTACACAAATTTATTAAAAATCTATCACAAATTTATCAATATATAATACAAATTTATCATTAACTAATTTTAATAAAATTATTTTTTATTAATTTATTAAATGAAATAGAATTATAATTCCATCCCACAGAGGTAAAATTATCTATCAAATAATTTTTATATTTTTTTACATTAAATCTTATTTAAATAATTTTTATAATCAAATCTAAGTTTAAGATTTTAAATACATTAAAATTATTTATAAACTAAATGTGTATTAATTTTTGAATGAAACCTATTATTTAATTTAACATAATTATTTAGATAAACAACAAGATCGGTAGCTGATCCACGTGCGACTGCACTTAGGATTCATGCACCCAATTAGAGCTGATCCAGAGCCAAGCCGGGCCTTTTAAATTGTTTATCAAGTTGATTGATCTGTTAGTTGAGGTGTTGATCATTGACCAAGCTGTTGATTAAGTTGAGTTGTTTTTTTGGGTATTTATTTTATTTTTGTTTATTCATTTATTGTTTTTATTTATTTGTGTGTATTTTTCAAGAAAATAAAAGAAAAAAGACAAGTAACATTAATTTTAAAAATTCATTTTGAACTAAATCCTACTAATATATTGAAAATTTTTTTAAATTAAAATTTTAAAAATTCATTTTAAAATAAAATCTTACTAACATGTCAAAATATTTTATAAGTTTGTTTATAAAATTTTAGAAAGAAAATCCATAAATTTCTACCAATAGATTGGAAGATTTTTATGAGTTTGAAAATAATTTTGTAAAAATAAAATTTACCAATTTATTAAAAGATTATATTGATTTGAAAATAAATTTAAAAAAATTAAAATATAAAATTTTCCTTCAAATTAAATTGTTTTGAAAATGTTAAGACAAGTTGAAATATTAATTTTTTAAGATAAAATTTTAAACAATTAGAAAAAAGTTAAGATATTAATTTTTTCTAAAATTTTGATTAAGGATAATTTTCAATACAAAAATTGTTTTGAAAATTTTTTAGATGTTTTGAAGGTTTAATGGATAACATAAAATTAATTGGTATCATCTTTTAGATAAACGTTATAGGGATGCTATACATTTTCTTGTACGTAATCGTATTTTCGAATTTGATCTGATTTCATAAAATAGAATCATTATTTTAAAGAGCCTGAATTAATTAAACTTAAAATCTCTTTTAAAAAAAATAAATTTGATTAAGGGAACAATTGCATTTAAATAAAAATTTTGATGATAATTCCATATTTTATATTTAATAATCAAATTTACTTACTTATACCTTATAATAAATATACTAGAAAATATGAACTTTCAGACTCCATGAGTTTTTAATTCCGTCATTTTTTTTTAATTAAAAGAAAACTGAAGTAACAATCTAACTTTGCTACACATAAAAAAAAAAAAAAAAACCTTAAAGTATCCATGAATACCGGAAAATTCTGCTTGAAATCCTGTGACCAATTGAAACTACTGAGAAATGTGGCATCAAATACTTCCTTAATTTCTTTGAACTGTAACTATAACCATTTTTCTTATTCAAATCCTTAATGGAAGAGAACTAGATGAGGGCCCAAGCATCTTGTCCTTTTCTTAGGAGTTGGGAGTTGGGAGTTGGGAGATGGGAGATGGGAGATGGGAGTTGGGAGTTGGGAGTTGGGAGATGGGAGTAATGACTTTATTTCACACCTTTATTATTATATTTTTTGCTTGTTCGAAATTTTGAAGGAAACTGATCTATCATTTATCTCAATTGCATTAGATTGCAATTCACAGCTTTCGTTAGTGGGACATGGCATCATTGATGCACTTTTGAATTGATCTACTATATATATATATTTTCAATTATTTTTCTGCATTATTTTATTTTTTGATTGACCTTTGCGGTATACATCTATTCAAGAATCAAAATAATCATTCACGGCTGAAAATTAGTTCAAAGTTTGAAAGTGTTACACATAAATATTAAGTTGCCAAATGGATCAAGATTTAAATTGAATTTTTTTTTTTTAAATAGATAAGCTTTTGTGAATAACTTTATGGCCAAGCCTAATTTTATAATTTTTATTTTTATAATAGTCGACTTGATAGTTATATATATATTATATAAAAATAAATAATACATATGTGTATATTAATTTTTTTATACCTACATGTATCAATTTCAATTAAATATTAAATTAATAAAATCATTTTTTAAGTTTTATTTATCATAATTAACATTTATTATAAAATTTATTTTTGTTATTTAAAAGATTAAAATCAAGATCACTTTTTGATTGAGTCGAGCTTAATAAATCTAAAATTTATTATTAATCTAGTTATGCTCAATCAGAATTAAATTCGATCATAAGCATTTTTAAATAGAATAAAAACCCACTACTTTTAGTTTATTTTAGAGATTAAATTCTGTATCAGATTATACCCTCATGCTATTTAATGACCAAGCATACAAGGGTCCATGATTATTTTTTAGTAATGTTATACAGTGATTAAATATTCATTTTAATTATAGTACAAGGATAAATTTCATTACTTGACATTTCCTTTTTGTATAGGACTAAATATCATTTCATTATATCTGTAAGCACAACTAAATTGCCACCTGCAATTACAATTTCAACTCTCACATGTCACACCTATCCTGTAATTGTTCTGTCATTTTCTCGTAGACAATGAAAAGAAACAACTTATTATTTTAGAGTTAAAGCTCTGAGCTTAATTGAAAGAAACAATGATAAATAAATACATAAAAAAAATAGAATACAAAAGATGCACAAAAATTACAGTGATTTTCTCTTAACGTGAAAGTCATGTTTATTTGCAGATGCTACATATCTTCATTATGATAAAAGAGAGATTACAAACAAACTCCAATTGCACATTTCACCATCTCTCTAACGTTTTTTTTCTCTTTCTCTCTAAAATGTACACCACCTCAAATCGAAAGTCTTCAAATATAAGTATAATTAGAGCAACCAAATTTTTTTATGAAAAATCCCAAAACACCTTTATTAATAATACTCTTACATATAAAATTTGGTCTAGAAAATTTTGTTATCTACAGGCTCTGAGAAGAAAATTTATCATCCCATTCAACTCGATTGATCATATCTCAAAAGTCGATTCACGTATTGATTTTGGATATAGACAATGAACATCAAAATTAATTAGAGTTAATTAGATTCCACACGTCTTAATACTTAAAATATTACCAAGTCTAACGTATTGCATATATGTTGCAAGGTCCTATCTAATGGTAGAAAAATTTTCCAAACACAATTAGTATATATGCTTCAAATACTTCATAAAATAATTTTTTTTCTGTATCCAAATACCATTTGAGGTTTGCTAACAGTAAATTAGTTAAAAAATTTTGAGATTAAAGTCAAATTTGTCTGTATATTATGGTTTAATACTCCTTCTATCCCAAAATAATTATATTTTATCGATTTTCATTCAAATTAATTCAATTTTCATCTTCATTTTTTAAAATATTATATTAAATTAAAACTTTAAAAAATATATTTTGAAAAAATTTGAAGTTCAAAATTTGCAAATCTTATTTTTAAAATTTTATAATTTTATTAAAAATAATGATCAAAATCAAATTAATTTAACCAAAAAATCAATTAGGGACGATTATTTTGAGATGGGAGAATATTAAATTTTATCATTATAATTTCAATTTGTTAATTTTTACACAAAAAAATAGAATTAAAATATTTATAAAATATTTCATTAATGCAAGTGATAAATTTTTTTTTCGGAGTTCAAAGCAATAGAAATAAACTTTGCTTCAAACGAACAAAACCTTCAACTATCCACAAATATTGAAAATTTTTACTTGAAATCTCATTGACCAATTGAAACTACGGAGAAAAGTTGCATCAAAGACTTCTTTATTTTATTTAATTTCTTTGGAGTCTCTTTTATTATGATTGTTAGATTTCAAGTTTGTGCTTGTTACGAAAGTAAAATAAAATTATATATTTGTAATTTAGCTACAAAATTAAAATAAATTGAAAGTATCTTCTATCTTAGAACAACAAATCGAACCCTAAACACTATCTATATTGTGGGGCATACAACACATAGCATTTTAGAACTAAAGTGAACAAAAATTTTAGCTTAAGAGAACCAAGTTATATATTCTTACTGTGACCTCATTTACAATGATATATACTGCAAAGCGAGTGCCATGAGCAATACAATCGACATAAATATCTATCGTTTTTTCATATGATGAAAGAGAATCGACTCAAAAGCAAGGTTTTATATATTTAAGTGGTAATAGCTATTTCAAGATAAACCTGGCACTTAGCAAGTTCTTCTCTCCCTGTGAAATCCACTCGAAATAAAGCAATGACAGAATCCACAATCTGAAAATATGAGCGCAAAAAAAATCGTCAAACAAAATCCACGATATCAGCATTAGACTCCCTCCTTGTTTGATTGCTTACGAATTTAGTCATAAATCTCTACCCACCATAGAGAAAAGTGTTGTTTTGTGCTCTAAAACCTTGTTGATCAACAGGGACATTAAGGACCACAAACATGCCAAGCGAAGTGAGGAACAACATGTAAGAGCAAGACATACAGCATCAAGGTTCGTGCTGTGTCATATATAAAACAAGTTTGAAGTTTGGAATGTCACTACATACTTACTCTAGAAATCTCAGTTATAGGACTTGTCACGTTGTTTAAAGCGGAAAAAAAAAGGGGCATATGCATGTCAAATACTATACTATTATCAACCAGCTATTTCATTTTTAATCAATTATATATTGATGTATGGATTAAACTTGGAGATTGGGACTATTAGCTCAATAATTCCGTTGCTTTCTTCTTTTTAGCTTCAGAATTTTTCTGGTTGGCCAGTTTCCTTTGTTTTTTCTTCTTCTGTTATCTAAGTTGGCTTGTTTCTTTGGTCCTTTGTGTTTCTTGTCTGTATTGCTCCTTTTCCTTCTACTCTAATACCACATTGCAGAAGTCTATCCAAATAATTTGCAGAAAGCTTACATTGTCAGACAAATCCAAGTTTCCAAAATAATAAGATTAATTACTTTTCTCTACAAATTACTTTTCTTTTCAACCCCACTTGTTAAAAAACATGAACATAAAACAATCTAGAAGATATCAATTTATTCATTTTGAATGTCAGAAAGGATACTATAAAAAATTGCAAATGTTAATTTAATAGAATTATCAATGTTTTTAATCCTAAATACAATACAAAAACATTGAAGGTTTACATGATATAGATTTTTTTTTTTTTAAAAAAAGGAAACAAAGAAAAATAGTGCTATAAACAAAAGAATTGATTTTGGGAAGATGAAAAAATATTGGAAACAAAACTTCAAAGCCAAACAAACTCCCATGTAAAATACCTTTTTGGAGACATGGGGTTTTAACATACAATAAGATACTCACCAAAAGTCTGAATGGTTCTTCAGAGATTTTTGCGGCCAAACCAAGAAGCAGATTGTACTGATGCTCATATGTGTATACACGAGCATAAACAACCTTTGCCATCATAGAAAATAACCAATAATTAACATCTGTTTCTACAAATTCAATTAAAGTTCTACTGATATCGATGCTTACATTGTCAAGAACAGCTCCTGGGTCCATCCCAAATCTTTCAGCTATGGGTATAATTCGATCAGTGCATGTAGTTGAAGAAAACACGGTAAATGTAGTTTGGAATTATTGAAGATAATACTCTTATTTTAGTTAACTTCTCACACCAGAGAAACTATAGTAGGTAATTTGAAAATTTAAAAGAATAGAAAGGATACTAAGTTCCTTCAGTATTAATGTAAGCCACTTTTCCATTCCCACCTCGCATGTGTTGTAGGAAGCTGCAAAGGCAAGATAAATATCTCATCAACAAAGTTCAATTTGAATATCGAAAATATGGTAAGCTAATTGAACTAAAGCAATACCATCCACGAAACATAATGTTTTTACCACATAATCTATGTTTTGAATACCAACAAACAATTCTTTTGATTGACAGATAATATTTCAATTTATGATAGACTGAGGAGTCATATTATGTATACTCTCGCAGTCCTGCCTTTCACTAAAAACAAATCCAAGGATAAGTGAGCAAAAGTGATTTGTTGTGCATTTTTATGATTCAGACATAGCATATCTATCATTACCCATGTTAAACTTTTGCAAGGTTTTCTTATTCAAAGAACCAATATGGGACAAATGGAATCTCCTCCAAAATCAAGCAAATAGCACAGGTTGTTTGGAGTTGATTTAGAACTCTCTTCTTTTTTCTTTCATCCCTAATTTCTAAGGATTAATAAAGATCTCACAGTCATGGATCACAAAGGTGAGAAAGGAACCTGTGTAGAAACGCATAGAGTATGTGCCAGTTGTGTTTTGCCTGACCTAAAATTGACAATGAAGATTAGCAGGCAATTCAATGATGCATCAGAGTAAGGATCGAAAGCAGAAAGATTTCAACAGGCAAATATTATATTATATTATCTTATAGTAGTAGTCTATTGAAGTAAAATATCACTGCCATTGTCGCCTAAGTTATCCAAATGCTTCTGTGTGATAGCCAGAGTTTCTATGCCACCTTTAAAAGTTTAGGCATATATATTCAGATTGTTTGACTCTCTATTTATACCAACAGTAAAACAAATTGATATATGAGGTTGATAATCCACCATTTACATCACTTCTCATAATCCACTCTTCAACAGCATTGTTAAATTATCATTTGAATTTTGCAGTCTTTTTCTATTCAACCTTATGGCATTCAATCTTTCAGTTCCTCTACCCTTGAACTGACCAAAAAGTCTATCATCCCTTGTTTAAGCAATACCAACCGAGTAAAGCTTAGTCTAAAAGCATGACAGAAATCTAATTAACAGATCTAAAAGCATTCAATCTACAATACAACCATCAGATCAACAAAAATCTAAGTAAAGCTACAAACTTTTCTTAACTCCATTCAAATAAACCAATAACTGTAGTGAAAATTACAACAACAAATTTGATCTAAAAGTAAACCAAACATAAAATTATTTGCTCATTTCAATGACAACTTCAACATTTTCTATCGCCAATGAGAGTGAAAGTGAAAACCATGACAGAAATATTATGCAAAAATTACGCCTTGCAATTCATCTTCGTAGAATCTGAGATTTACAGCAAAAAATTAATTACGAAAGCGAATCACAGACAATGTTATACGTACTTCCTCTATCAAATTTTTTCTTTTTAAACTTTATTTTATTTTAAATATATTAATATTTAATAATATAAATTTTACCTTTGAAAATTAATTAATAAAAGGCCCTGTTTTATTTACTAAACATGAAAAGAAAAAAAAAAAGGAAAGGATAATTATCGACATACAGAGATTCTACTGTAGAAACCCAGTTCCTTTTATTTTTGCTTACATTTTTTACTGGAAAGACAATAGATTATATCAGTTTATAGCACATGCAAAGAAATTCATGCATGAAATAAAACAACTTACAACATAAACTCAAACCAAATTTATACTCAAAACACACCTCCTTCTACATCAAACAAAATGATAAAAAATAGTCAGACAAACAAAGCAAATGCATTCAAACTCAAAACAAATTTTCATATATCTATCACAAAATTATAAAGAATAAACGATTTAAAGAATAAACAATATATTATAAAAAACCCATCACAAGACTCATAATCAAAAAACACAAAAAAAAAAAAAAAGAAAGCAAAAACCGCAATCCTCACAAATTGTGAGAAACCCAGTAAATTCGGCAAAGATTTGGCTGGCAAAAGAGAAAAGGAGAAGAGAAAAGAAGGAAGAGAAAAGAGGTGACGATCGGCGACCAAGCAAGGCCCAGAATTGGCTAGGAGATAAGAAAAAGACAACAAAAAAGAAATAAGGAAAAAGAAGGAGAAAAAGAAAAAGGAGAAGAAGAAACAAAAAAAGAGGAGAAGCTTTGGAATCTTTTTCTTCCCATATTTTTCCCATAATTTTTTTAAGCCAATAAAGAGGTGTCTAGGCAAATTGAATCAGGGTATAGATGTTATATATAGTTATAGATTACCATTTTTCTTATTCAATTCCTTGGTGAAATACAACGAGACAAGGGCTGGCTAAACATATTTCCTAGTATTGGGAGCTATACCTTTAAGATTATCAAAATTTAAATCTTAATTTTTAAAATAAAAAATTTATCGTTTTATCAACAAATCATATCGTTGATTGATCCTTTTTTTTTTTCAATTATTCTTTTTGTATTTGTCACTGAACTCAACTGTTTAAGTAATTTATCAAAATTAAAATTTTATAATAAGATTTTATATTCTTTTTATCAGATAACAATTTTTTTGATAAATGATAGTTACACATAGATTTTTCATATAAACGCAAAATTCTCCATCTCAACTCTTTAACCATTTACTATTTTCCCTTCTTAAAATATATAGACTCTTTGTTAAGGAAGGGTATTTTCATGAAACCATTAAGAGTACAACTTGTTGGGAAATTAACACACACATGTAGCACCCACGAACAAAATAGTAAGCTCAATCCAATAAAAGCAAACACACAAATATATTTGTTTTGGCCCAACTTAAAATGGGCATACTTCAAACTTAACCAAACAATTAATCTTTAACAACTGTGAGACTTTTAGAATAAGAAAAATCTCCAAACTCCTTACTCAAAATGCACATTACACCTTTTTAACTAGCTTACTCACCTAGCTATTCCTCCTTGGTGTCTGACTAATCTGAAATTACCGCAATCACAAACCAAAACCCAAACATCTTATTTATAAGGATGAAACACTTTAATACCTTTACTAAATTTTCGAATGGTGGGATACCAGATAAACTCAAAACTGTCTTACAACTTTTAATGCTGGGATTAATGAAATTCAAGGTAAATCCCAACAAATCCTCCAATGACTTGAAATCTCTCCAAACACTTCACATAGTATCTATGGGCAAAGCTAACACTCTTACTTCTTCTTCTTTTCCTTCATGCACAGGGATCTTA